TCATTTTGAAGCGCAATTTTTTTTAGGGCTTCAATATTACACCTTATCACATACACTGATAACGCGTAGGGCCGTGCATCTCAGATTTAACCTCGTTGAACGATGCCTTTAAAGAGTGTAACTTAAATTTTCATAGAAACGAAAATGGGTGTATTTTTCTAGAAATTAGACATTAAACAATCATGATAAAGATTTAGCAAACTAACAAACAAACAAAAGACGATCTTGATTTTCTAAAACAAAATGAACACGGTTCGGGATCCTGGAAACAGGGTTAGATTTTCAAAAGTAAAGAAAGTATTTCACCAAATCCAAATGTTGAACATGCCATTATTTTTCGTTTAATACACGATGTAAAGGTTCCAACATTCAACTGTCCACATTTCGGTGTAATATAGAAACAACTGACGATAGCTGGAAAGTGAAAAATGAACGAGGATGTCTGTACGCCCAACATAATGGCTTATTGTAATTTATCTGTTTTCCTATCTCGGCAAATTGTTATGACCATTCTCGATTTCTTTATGACTCTTACTCGCAATAATCGTATTTCATGGTTTCTCCACGAGGCATCTATGAATATAAATGTCTCTCTTTAGCGGGTCGACCATGCAGGAAAAAAAAGTATAGTTGCCCTTCAATAAAAGTATATATGGAGATCGCGTGGCATAATGTAGTTCAAATGGTAATTATCGTGTTGAAAGTTATAGCATTTCACTCCATTGACTTCGTTTAATCACCGGTATACTGATTTACAGTTCCGCGTTTGCGGGAAAGTCATGACCGAATATTGCAAATATTGGTGAGAGGCGGAGGGAGGGGGGGGGGTGAAGAAGGGGAATAGTGGTATTAAGAAGAGTAGGGCGCGACAAAGCGATGTGATCATGAATTTGTATGCTTTTTGTGATCATGAATGGGTACGTTTGTGTGTTTGTTTGTTTGTTTGTTAGTTTTATTACTCTTTTCTTTTTTCATTTATTAATTTAGGAGGATGGAGTTTTTTTCTTTCTTCTACAAGGCACACAACGTTGTCCAGGGCCTTGCAGTCAATGATTGATTGATATTTTGCAAGTGAAAACTACAATGTTTGTACAATCAAATGACCGTACGATAAATTACTAAAGCTCTGTGTCACGGGACCCATATCATTGGTTTGGTGGCAATGTATGTTTGTCAGGGCTTGTTTACAATTTAAGCACACATGTGTTTATTGTACTTAACACACTTATATTCAAATTTCATAAAGCAAAATACTCTCAAATTTAAACAATTGTAAATGGATCCTTTTTTTTAAAGTCTAGTCATCTGTGTTTTGACAGGGGTGGATTCATGATTATTTACGGGGGTATGGTGTATTTGTGAATTACAATGCCTATAATCAAAACAAAATCGACAACAAAAGATGTTTTTCAGATTTTGCTAGTGATAACATTTATTTGAGGGAGGGGTGTGATGTGTGAAAACCCAATTATAGTTCTATGAGGGAAAAGCTATAGTTGTTATAACATTATTTTACAATTAACTAAGATATTAATCAAGCATGCAAGCAAAACAGCAAATCAACCGAACAAACCAAACATTCACTGGAACAACCAACTAACCAGCGAATCAGCCTACTAACGAGGTGACCAACCAATTAACGGAACAAGTAACAAAACAGTCAACCGATCAACCAGCCATCTAACCAAGTAACCAACAAATCAAGCAACTAAGCAACCAACCATCTAACCAAGTAACTAACCAACCTACAACAACAAAAAATCCAACCAACCAATCAACCAACCAATCAACCAACCAACAACGATCTAACCAACCATCTTACCGACCAACAACCAAGTAAACATCCGACGAAGCAAACCCAACAAACTATCCAACCAGACATCCAACCAAGTGACTAACTAACCAATCAACCAACCAATCAACCAACCAACAACGATCTAACCAACCATCTTACCGACCAACAACCAAGTAAACATCCGACGAAGCAAACCCAACAAACTATCCAACCAGACATCCAACCAAGTGACTAACTAACCAATCAACCAACCAATCAACCAACCAACAACGATCTAACCAACCATCTTACTGACCAACAACCAAGTAAACATCCGACGAAGCAAACCCAACAAACTATCTAACCAGACATCCAACCAAGTGACTAACTAACCAATCAACCTAACAAACCACCAAAAACATCATTACATGACAGCCAACCATCCTTTAAACTTATTCAATAAAGAACTTATCAATCAATCAATCAATCAATCAAACAAACATTCAACCAACCTTTCAATCAATAATCCAACAATTCAATCAATCCATCCATCCATTAATTAACAAATCAATCAATTTATCAATCGATCATTAATTTAGAAGGGAAAGATGAAGAAACATGTCAGCACATATTTCTTGAATGTGATATGGTAAGGGTTTATGGGAATAGTGTGGTAATATGCTACATCTTACAATTATTCTTAAAGAGATTGGATGGAAGGAAGTTCAAATGGAACTTCACTAAACAACGTCATCAAGGCAAATAATTAATAATGTTGTCATTGAGAAATGATTCTGGCGCTGCTCAGTGGCTGCCGGGCTCACGATCACACTATGAACATGACTGACAAAGAAAGCGGACAAAATATACAGTTCCTCAGGTAGACAAAGGAACATCCCTTCACTGCTATTATGTAAAAATGTGTAGAACAGGTGTCACATGCATATTCATCTTTTTACATAATAGGAGCGAAGGGATGTTCATTTGTCCACCTGAGGAACTGTATATTTTGTCCGCTTTCTTTGTCCGTCATGGTCATAGTGTCAATTGGGCAAAAAGAATTTCCGTTTCGGTTTAATAAAATTTGGAGTGGACTATTAGGCTATTATTATATTATTATTATATATTATTATTATATTAGTAATTAAATATATGTTATTTCTTAGTAGGGAGAAATAAGAGAGAAATTACCCCAAGGCAAGCAAGAGGAACTGAAAGAAATACATTGACAATTCATTACGAATACTAAAGGGAACTAGATACTAGATGGCAAGTTTTATGATTTATACTTGCTTGACCTTTTCTTCCCAGGCGCTACAAGCTGCCATCCTCTTCTATTTCTGTTTTCTTTTCTGTCCCCCCCCCCCTCCCCCCCTCTCTCTCTCTCTCTCTCTCTCTCTCTCTCTCTCTCTCTATCCCCCCTCTTTCTCTCTCTCTCTTTGTTGTTTTTGCTTTTTGTTTGTTCTGTGTTTATGTGTGTTGTTTGTTCTGTTTATATGTCGGGTGTTATAATTACAATAGATTTCATTCAATATTTTTTTTTCCTGATCGATTCTCAGTGTATATAGTCAATGTGGATTGTTTATTTAGTTATTTATGAGCATCATCGTAGATGAGATGAACACGCAATTATTTCATTTATGTTTGAACTGTTTCTTGGTTATTGTATTCAAGATGTTTTTTATGTATGATATATGCATGGAATGGAATCAATAATGAATAATGAATATTGAGGGGGGAATAATTAATCATCTAACAACCAAGCAGAAGATGTAGACATGAATTAATATTTGTTGTGTATGATTAATTAACAAAACCGACCGATTCGTTTATCCGTCTATCCATCCTTCTTCAAAATCTAACGCAAGTAAATGTTATAATAAAATCAGTGCCTACCAAGAAACAGATTTAAACAACGCATATCCCGTACTTTATTTACAACACGAGTATAATACAAGGAATATGTCCCTTCAAATGTTTTACAATAACATTTTGAAAAGATTTAACCAGTTCTAGATCTTTAGGTGAACGACATGTTATGTTATTTACAGATGAGATGTTCACTGATCTCGAAATTACCGACAAAAAACGACAAAGAAGGGTCCTGGAAATTGACAAAATATGAAAACTGTATTATATCTTTGAATGCTATAGTTATGCCATCATATTAGTCAAGTTTTTTGGTGCACTCTAGCTTTTGAAAATCAAGTTGGACATATTGGAATACCGTTTAAAATGTTACAAGAAGTTTTGGACTATATTTGCCATGTTTTGCTCCGTGCTCATTGACTGAACATAATACCTAAACCCAATCCTTCTTCAACCCCAATTGTAACCCTAACCCAAACCCCGCCAGAACATGACAGAGCACCCATATCACTCATCTAATTACTGGAGTGCTGCTTTAACATGGTTAAGAAATAACTCCTTTTTCTTATTTGAATAATATACACTGATATTGTCTCACTTTGGAGGTATATTTCTTTTTCATTCTCAGATATATAAATGAACAATTCATACTTTTTGATCACTGTGTTCAATATTCTTCTAACTGAATTTGACAGTTCAAAGAGGCTTTAGGCACCGCTTTGTCTTAGGAAAATGTCGACCTGTATGCAAATCGTTTTAAAATTCTTATCGTAGAAAGAAAATATGATACGAAAACCAGTTAATAATCATATATTACTCAAGGATGTTGGGTATATGCGTAATATTCAATTAGACTGCTTCATGATTTTCTTAAGAAAGGAAATTTTGGAATACAGACATTTCATTTGTGAATCACTATGATATTAAATTGTGTTCGCCATATAGCGGAGAAGAATGCATACATGTTCATTTATTTAATCTCCATTAGTTATCTAAAAAAGATATATATTTGAAAGTAAGAACATGCACCATACCTTTCTCTACTAACAAGATCAAATATTGATAAAAGTAGAAATAAATATCAAGAATGAAAGGTGACACCTAACGTGTCGTTAAGAGTTTAGAATTGGAAATTTTAGAATGTATTAAAAAATGCAGCGTTAAGGACAGATAAAGATGAAAACATGTTCTTGTTTCCATTTGTCTTTTCTTCGTGCTTCGATTGGCAAAAAGAGAATGCATTTATAAATATTGGAGGAAAACAGTGTAAAATGATACACCTTCATTCTAAATGTGATATCATGAAAGACCTCCTCTGTTATTGTTCTCCTTGATAATTGTCTGCCTTTGGAACTCAAATACATATTTACTTTGGATGCATTCCAAAATAACAACCAAACTATTTTGAATAGTAAGTTAGTAAGCAAAAGAGAAAATTACAAAACACCTATGCATTATGCAATTGGTAGAATAACGTCAAATCCCAAATCGCTACTGGTATGAGAACATTTCTTGAATAATATTATCTAATTTCATTATCATAAATACATCATAATGCTAAATTACGAAAAGAGCGTAACATAAAAAGAATTACCCGACGTTCCCTTCAGATTCGGAGACATCTTTTAGTTACGACTTTTCAAGGGCAATATCGTTGCAGATCGACGCTGACGGTAAAAGTGAGTATGATTCCCATAAACAAGAAAAATACACATGGTGAAGAAAGTGTTCATGAAGAGGAAAAAAGATCGCACTAACGGTGACGACGACGATGACGATGACGTTAATGACTTCCCTGGTCCTTATCCGAGTCCACCTCATTGTCCTCATCCTCCTTTATGCTGCAGCTTTTGGCGTCATCGCCCTCGCCTTCCTTTGCATCGTCGTCCTCCTCATCGCCGGCACCGTCCCGTACTCGTTCCTTCTTCCACTTCATCCGTCGATTCTGGAACCAGATTTTGATCTGTCTCTCGGAGAGGCACACGGCCTGGGCGATCTCGATGCGTCGCTTACGCGTCAGGTAGCGATTGTAGTGGAACTCCTTCTCCAGCTCCAGCGTCTGAGCTCGGGTGTAGGTCTGGCGACCGCGTTTGCGATCCGTACCGATGATGTGGGTACCTAGAAGAAAGAAAGAAAAAACAAACAGAATGAATCACACAGAAATATATCAAATGTTCACTCTTGAAAATAGTTGGATTTAAATAGATTGAGCCAGACACGTCGACATATACGCAGACGACTGACCCTACTTGGCACGCTTGCGTAAAGCTTTCGCGATCACGATCTCATATATATTTAGTCATAATCACTTGAGTAAGATACATGATTATCCTCATGGCTGACAGAATTCGAACGATAATTGTCTATTTTTGCAACATTTTATATGCTTTTAGTTAAAATGTTTTGTTTTGTGTGATTTTGTGTTTGAATGTATAGTTATTGCTAGTTTTGTTTTTCTTTCTATCTGCCCATTAATATCCTCTTTTTTTTGGTGAGGAAGTAGTTTCATGGATAGGGGCATGCAGTATCATATACCAAAACAAATGTTTTGTTTGCTTAATTATAGTCTTAATTTAAATTCACGTCATGACCATAGATTGCGTGAAACCAAGCTTTTTCATGATAGGGGATGAAAGGTCGTGGGAATTCAACCAATCTTCTTCAGTGACAAGAAACGGAACCGGAAGTGTTCAGGAAATATGATGATATCATTTTAGTCTTTATTTGTCATTACACATAACGTGTACCTATTTCAATTAAGATACTTTTAGTTTACACCGTCGTTGTATAAATGTAGGTTCGAATGCATGATCTTGTGATGTTTATAATTAGCTTACGTCCAGGGATTAGTGGGATTAAATACGTCAAATTGCGGTTTCTATACATCAGTCTACAAAATAAAATAGATTATTCTCATTTCCAAACAAATCGGGGCAGTGTTCTCAGGGCATAAAAGGTTTTCCTTTCAATATCACTTACAGTTCCCTGTATCAGTGTGTATTGTTAACAACATACGGTTGCCTGTTAGCCATTACAACAAATATTTATAGCAGATTTCATGATATTAAAGCGATCGCAAAGACTTTCGAGAAAACAATTCAAACGCACTTTCAATACCCATTGTAATACTTCATTTCAAGATAGCTCATTTCAGTATGTTAGGACATGGACCTACTAGAACGAGGCTATGTTAAAATTGATTTGGTAATTTTCGAAAGTATCTGCGATCGTGTGTTTTTTAGCACTGGAAATCAATTAAATGATAAAATAAACATTAAATCATCCATATCAAGGGTAGATATGAAGTAACAATAATAAATATCATAGGGTGTTATTTTTATAACTTAAAATAATATATTTTCAATAACCTGTTTCATAATAAGGTTTAGAGAAGTTTGGTTAATGCACGCAAGACACGATGCTACTTTATTATTATTATTATTATTATTATAAGTCAGGGCCTTGGAGACTACCATACAGTATGATAATGCAGACACGCTGGACATGCTGGGACATTTTTCTTTTCTTTCGAGGAGGCTCTGAAAGCCTACAAACAATGAGAACGAACGTTTCATTCGTTTCAGAGAGAGAAAAAAAAATCTCAAGACTTCGTCCATACACATTGTGAACTCCAGCCCCCCCCCCCCCCATTTCCCAATCTGAGTGAAACAACAAAAGACCAAGCTTGTATGGGATAGAGAGCCATGAGTTAAAGTATGTCCCCCTTCCATCATGCGTAGATAACGACGCAAATTCTCTTTTTAGACGCCACTATTATACAGTTGTTTTTCCATTCGTTTGTTGTCAATGTTTCCTACCCATCCTTCCTATGTCCAACTTTAGGTTCAAATACCGTTACATTATTTTACCTCCTCGTGCTTACAACTAGTCTTGTGGTCACCCGCCCTTTAAAACAAAGTTACAGAAGCTTGCAAAATTCAAGGCAAAACACTATTGCTACTTGAGAAATTGGAAACATACGGAGAGACCTCTAAAAGGACATCAAACCAAGGCATATGGTGAAGATGGTGCATTTGTATTGTCATTGTCCAATTCGAAAGATCTTCAGCCAGTAGTATTATCTTCTGTCAAATTCTGTTCCTGTACATTCGGGAAATGTCATAAATCCGTTTGGAAGTAATACCCATCAATCTCTCAAACATGGAGTAATTAGGCCGTTGACGATTCGAGTCATAAACCCGCTTTCCACGATCCTCCTCCTCCGATTTTGAACCTGACTGTGTTGTCCACTCGCGAGGTCAGAGGTCAGGGATGAACTGTGACAAGAGCGAGGACAACTGTCGTCTGCGCTTGCTTGCGTATCAACACTAGTATCGTATCGTTTATATCTGAACTTAAAGATGGCTTAAAAACTTTCAACCAAAGATTATAAAGAGAGAAAGAAAGAAACGTTATTATGTCCTCATTGCCGATACTATAATACCACCAAAGTGATTAAGATAACTTTTATTTTGAAGCATTTCAAATAAAAAATAATGTTGAAAGTTTGCTGCTCTACGACCTTTTCAGCTATACCAAACCACTAGAATACTACGTTAATATGCAAATATCATTGTGTAAAGTTAAGAGAGAATTTTTGCTATCCGCAATGTCCAGAAAACTCATATTGCTTGGTTTGCCTAATGAGCCAACAACATACAGATTGGGCGTTTTCAAGACTCCAATTATATTTGGAGTCCAGTTAGAAATAATGTCGCCCACATTTGATAAAATACTTAACTCTTGTTTTGTGTGGTGTGTGTTTAGTAGAGTATTGTATTAGCAACGAAACAGAATAATATTTATATGCTACGTAGCGACCAATTGAAACCAAGTTGGTCAAATTTTTCATAGATTGTTCTGATCCCTGTACTATATACTATTATATGACATTAAATCACTGCTACGTCTTAAATACCTTTACGACTACGAGGCATGTTTAATTAGAGAAAATGAAAAGACATTATATCTCTCTCTATCACCAATCATTTCTCGTTCCTTATCTCCTTTTCAATTGTTCATACCATTGCTCTTGCCGCCATCCGTTATCATTTCCCACTATTATCCACAAATACAATATCGAAATATGAGTAACTGTAATTTGTCTTAGTCGATATGTTGGCATGTAATACATAATAAATACATTGCTAAATAATTATGTAGGATGCGCGAAGGCGGGATCTCTTGTAGTCTCTTCAACGAGACATACGAAGTAAACTTATGTAGGTAAAAAGGGCCAGATAAAAGCATCTGTGCTAGTCGAGCCAAACCCTTTATAGCTAAACAATTATTTTGGTCCGAGCAAACGGAAGTTCAGGAAACGAAATAATTGGAGAAAAAAATGATGCTTCACAATAATAAGAAATTTTAACAATATCTTACAATATACAACTGAAATATGAAATAATATGAAAGAATATGAAACGATATGAAAGAATCTGAAATTCATACATATTTCCGCCTCCAACTATATACTGATTAACATGAAATTGATTTTCATTTAATTAATTGTAAGTTTAAGCAATGTACCACTTTTGTATTTCCTGTATGTTGTTATTCACTTTGTTTACACTAATTTCGCCCTGGCAAGCTAAAAAAAAGTATGAGATAGGTTGGAATCATCAGCAAACAGCAACAAAATGAAATAATCAGTTACTGATGGCAGTTGATTTATACAGACCAAAAAATAGAGCTGGGCCTAATACTGATTCTTGGGGAACACCACTACATCTTATCTTCGTTTTCTTATAACATTTGACTACATAGGACAACCTGAAATCGGTTACTAAGATAAAAATGATACAAGCATTAAAATAAATGTAGATTAAATGCGTTTGAGCACATTGAAACCCTTCTCGTTTCGTTTGTTTATAGTTGAGTCTGCCGTCATTAAGAAGTTCGCTTATGAGAAAGACACACATGGCCAATTCAAATACACGTGGGAGATATTAAAGTGTGCCTTTCAATATTAAATTTACTATACACCATATCAGATGAGACCCCAGATCTTCGTAGTATAACAGAAGAAACAGATATAAAATTGTGTATGAGGTTTACATTAAATTCTACTCTACTAATTACTAAATAATAGTTATCTTATCTATAAAGACAAAAATATGATCTTGTACTAATAGCTGTACTGTATCATTCATCCAAGAACTCATGGCAAATCTAAAACTCTAAACTTATACTAGAGGAAAGTCATAGAACATCGTTAACAACCATTGACAACAAACGACAACAAACGATGTGAATTATCAACTTTAAGCAGTAGGTCCATACTTTAAGCATGTATTCTGAAAACTGTCAGTAAGGTGTGCTTAACTACTGTCATTTATTTGTATGATCTGACTGACAACCATGCAAAAGCGTATTTACATTTAAGAGTGACCGCCTTACTCCTTATACTCTGATGACTTGTATAAGTGTAATATTCATTTATTAATGTTGATGTATAAAGAGAGCACTTTCATAAGAGAAGTCAATGAAAAGCCCTAGAATTTAAATGTATTCCCAGACTATCTCGGCATTGTATCATTTTTCGTACCTCCACTTATTGCAAATACAGTGTGCAGGGAGGATTAATCATGTCACCCAAAATATATAAACTATGTAATGGTTTAGAATCGTTTTGTTATGATCCAAAGGCACGCTATTGTTTAAGATATGGCACTGAGCACCGCTATTATCAAAGAGCTGCGTTGACCCCAAAACACCCTTCGAAAAGTTAGTAACAGTATTTGAAATCGCAAAGCCAACGGAAACTATATCGAAAATGTATTTGTTGATCTAATTCAAGGCCGATTGCTAAACTGTTTTGGGATTGATACTCCATCACCATCACTGTCTTGCAGCCCATTTATCAGAAGATAATCATCTCAGGGTGGTACACGTACCTGAATCTGTACAGTCTACTTCTTAACGACTGTTATGAATATGCAAATTGAGCTTTTGAATATTCACATTTTTTGCGTGGTTTTATACAGGTGGTATTGGAGCGAATAAACCGTACTTATTTCTGAGGTAGTTAATCGATTTGCTTTGAATCATGGAAATTAAAAAAAAAAAAGATTTGACGAGTAGGGTGGAAGAATGAAGAGAAACATATTTTTTATTTCCAAATAG